ACAAACCTGGCCAAAGGACTGTTTATTTTTTTTCTCTAAATGCTCTTGGATAAAGTTTTCAGCTGTTAAACATGTATTCTTATTTAGCCACAAGTATTGATAGTCAGTTATTTACTTTAATAAAAATATTCAAACTGCATTCCAGTGTCGTTGTAAAATACTTTGGTTCAATTTCCAATCTAGAGATGAGCATATTTGTCTACAGGCATTTCCTATAAGATCAATTCCTAAGGCTTTATGTGAATATATACTAGAAGAGACCCCAGAAAAAAAGAATATAGTTGAGGTTAAGATGTTGGAAATACTGGTAGTTATCCATTCTTTTAAAAATTCACTTGGAATATTTGTACAGTACTTGAAATAAAATAAAAGCAGTGGAGACAAAAAGATAGGCACTGAAAATGAGCAGTTTTTGAAAAGCTATCATGTACAGGCACTAAGCAGGCATGTCTGTATCTATGAAATCATTAAACTCTGAGGTATGTATTATCATACCCATTTTATGGGTCAGGAAATCAAAAGAGAGGTTACAAAACTTCCACAAGATGACTGTGCTAACAGAGTGGGTCGGGGATTCAAACTTAGGTCAGTGTGACTTGGAAACGTGTGCTCCTTCTACAGGTCCTATGGCCACCAGTGAGCACCTAATGCAAGTGGCTCAGCAAAGGCTGTCCTGCCTAGAGTCACATAGCTCTAGATTCATAGTCATTGAATTCATAGTCACATAGTCATTCATAGTCACATAGATTCTAGGAGACTCAAAGTTACAGGAACTCAGATATATTGTGTCTTTGAGGGAAAAAAATTGCCTCCATCAGATTTATTTTTTAAAAGAAATTTACAAAGTCCTCAAGTAAATCTTTACTGGATAATTTAGGTTAGACCACATATTATCAGCAAATGCCTTGATGGTTAACGAGAGATGTGTTGCCATACCCCCTCCCCTCCCTTCTCAAAGCACTTTGGATGGGTAGATACAGTTTTCCAAGAGGCATCAGCATAAATATTAGATCATGAAAAGAAACACTAGGCACAATCCTCCTTTGAAAGTGGATCAAATTGGCAACACATGTAGGTGTGTCTGCTTAATGGAGTCGAGGGAGAACAAGACCAAAGATGACTTCATGTCAAGTGAAAGACATCTTCATATAGAGCTGAACATATGCAGATCCCATTAGAGCAATGCAAGTCACTTGCAGATGTTACCTGGCAGCTTTGCACCTGGCTCTGTGAAAAATACTAATTGGCTTCAAGTTATAGTCAGACACCTGATTGGCTGGGATGTTAAAAAAAAATTAAATCCGTCAGTGTGGGAGGCTTGCAGCATGGAGCCTATACAAGGCATTCTATGCACAGAGTCCGTGCTTGGCATTGGTGAACTCCTATACCGAGCTCCAGATAGAAAACTTAAAATGATGCAGTATTACCCAACGTGGATTTAAACAAACAGAAGATTGTCCAGCTACCTGCAAAATGGAGTAAAGATTCACGCCTGGAACTGGAAATAAAAAATACCAAGTCAAATTTGGTGCTCTTAGGCCGAGGATGAGCCACTTCCTCCATGTACCAAAGAAAATGGTTCAACACTCTAGTGACTACTCTGTGCAAATGCAAAATGCTTCTTGGATGAAAAAAATCAATGTTACTGTGCCTTGCAAAAATATTAATAATGCCTTGAACAAACACTTCTCTTTGAGGAGTCCAGAACATGCTGTGCATTTCTTCTTGTTACTCCCTATGCCCTGTCTCTCTCTGTAGACAGGTAAGTGGGTGATATTTCAGAAGGGGAAAACAAGGTGAGGTAACTTGGGGGAAGCTGCCTCAGTTCTGTCACGGACCCAGAGCTCCTTGACTGCCCAGCAGGAACCACGCCCCAGCGCCCTGATGTTGTGGGTGTCTAGCAGATGGATGCAAGTGTAACTGCTGCAAAAGCGAAAAAAGGCCAAAAGTAGGAAAGGACGGAGGAGGGAGAAAGAAAAGCTTTCACTGCCATTGTGGATTTGTAACTCCCAGACAGCAAAGACCAAAAGTTCTTAGGCTAAGCAGCCTCAAGAACAAGAAATGGTTGCTGATGGGGGTGGGAAGGGAGACAGAAAACCTAGAGGAGAGCAGAGTCAACTGCCATGCATTTCATCACGTGATCCAGAAAGTCGGAACTTGTCAGTAACCCGAACACCAAAAATCTCTGAGCCTCTTTTGGTTGATCAATTTGGCCCCTAAAACCAATTTACACTATGGCAATTCCCACTGCTGCTAGTGCACGAGGCACTGAGCAATTACTGCCTGGCCTGTTGTTGACCCCACTAACTAGGTGTTCACGGCTCCAGATATTTCTGGTCAGTTTACGTGGGTGACACATTTGTTAGCCAGATTGTTATTCTTTCTCCAGGAGTAACTGCTGGCCAGTACAGGAGAACACTGTACTCCCTTGATATTATTAAATACAAGAGACCCTCATACCTTCTGACACCCAGAGACTTTACTCAAAGCCCTAAGGGAAGAAGCCGCATGGAGCTGAGGGCATTACTGAGCCACACACCAGATCTGAGGGACTTCCCTTTTGGCATTCTTGCTCTATTAAAAATTCAGTCCTTGTAATCCCAGCTACTCGGGAGGCTGAGGCAGGAGAATCGCTTGAATCCAGGAAGTGGTGGTTGCAGTGAGCCAAGATTGTGCCATTGCACTCCAGCCTGAGCAACAAGAGCGAAACTCCATCTAAAAAAAAAAAAAAAAAAAAGTTCAGTCCAAAAAAGAGATGGTGACACATTACAATCTTCTACTTGTCTCTGCATTTCTACGTAGAGTGTATGTAGGGAATAGCTGCTTCACAAATATTTTGAGTAAAAAACATAAACTAATAATTTCATCAGTTGTGTCTGTTTTCAGGTTTCCCACACACCGTACATATTCTTGCATGGTTTCAGATCATGGCAATATGTATTCAATTATGTCTATACAGAAAATTGTTGTTCCATACATAAATCCCATCAACAGAGTCAAATAGAACACGCTTGCTGTGGGATTCTGTGTATTGTTCTTAATTCACCAGACTGCTGTGAAAAACACATTCATCTCCTGGCAAAACAAATCCAAGCTCCTTTATGTTATGTAAGCCCAACACTACCAGTCCTCCTCCTTCTACAGATTTGAAAACAGATCACTTGATGGTGCCCATGACATCGTAAGACCTCTAGGCCAGTTAAGCAACTGCAACACATACTCGGCCCACAGAATGTCTAAGTGGCCTCAGTAGATATTAAGATGTGACCACTCCATGGGGCAGGATGTGTTTGTACGTGTGTGTGCCTGCCTGCATACACACACACACACACACAAGAGCCAGGGAAAGACAATGGAAGAGCCAGAGAGGGGAAACAGAGGGCACATCTGTCTGTACTCTCCTCCTGCTGGAAGTTGAAAACAGTGGCCTCATTCTTCACGCTAAGTATAGGTTCCCAGGCATTTGTGCAGTCATATTCAATAATATATTCTGGGGCCGACGGTTCAGATGTGTCAGCATTTCTATTACCATTGCCTATGTTTAGAGTTCTTCATGCAGTCAAAAGTGCTAAGGCCAAAAATTGTTATGAAGATAACAGAGGCAAGATATAAGTAAATAAACCAAGGAACTAGGTACTTTTCTTTGGTATTTGCATTACAAGATAAATATAAAAATCAATTTAAAGGTATTGTTAGGCTGATTTCTGTTTTTTCCCTTCTTTATTTTGGTATGAGAGGTAAAAATCCAAGTTTCAATAATGGCTTCTGAGAAAATTCACGTCTATGATTTGGGTTTCTAATAATTGCTTTTAAAAGTGAACCAATCGATACTGTGTCCTGAGGGACAACTGGGCTGAGCATCTCATGAGGAAGTAAAGGGAAGTGTAGAAAAAATGAAAGATTAACATTGACTTTTAATAAATAAAAGAGTACACAATGTAGATGAAGTTACATAACACATGAGGTGTTCTTCAAGAGTTATACAACAAAAAAATTGAGTGTAAATTCAATTTTGGCAGGTTAGGTTTTATTTTAACTGCACTGGGAAAACCACGTAGATAAAACTATCTTATTGCTTATCCTTTACAATTTTAAAGCAAAACAAACACAACAGCATTTTATTTAATTGTAGTGTATCCGTATTTTCACATATTGGCTTTAAAAAAATATCTGCTTACAAGAAAGAAAGGAAAGCCCAAACAAGAATGTAGTATGTAAGCGAGTACAAAATGGGATACAGTATAAGGCAAACTGATTACCTAAGTCCCAAGAAGTCAAGAAACAGAGTGTAACTCAGATCCAAGCAGGGTTAACCAGGGAAGGCTCCATTTCTGTGTGTACCTGCTGCTTTCTTCGGCACTGCACTATACAACATTCTGGGGCAGCCTGAGAGATGCAGACTATACAAATATAGTCTCACATCTCACCACCAAAGCACAAACATTCCAGAGGCATGGAAGCCAAAGTGTAAACACTTCTGCAGTCAACCCTTAACTATTCACATTTACAGAAGGAAAGAGCAAAGATACCGCTAATCCAATAGATAAATGGAAAGATCACTGAGTTAGCTTTGGAATACACTCTTTTGAATACAGGTGTATCCGTGTTCAAGGAACTCACAAGTCTGTTATGAATATTAGTCATAAGGAGTCATAAGGAGTTAGAAACTTTCTCCAGGAGTTAGAAACCTTTTCAACATTTATTACAGCTACCAGAAATAGAGAATTAACTGGACAATCTCAAAGATGCATTTGACTGGTAACTAAAGTTCCATTGATTCCACCAGACAACTGTAAAACTATATAGATAGAATTTTGGAATTTGGCAAATAAGTATGGCATGAACAAATAACCCTGTTCAAAATTGAAAATAAACAGCAGAAAACAATTTTTAAAAATTCTACAAAAGTACTGAAATTCCCTTTCAATTGCTGCAAGTTACCTCATTTCAGTTGCCTTGTTTTCATTGCCTCTCTGCTCCTTTCAATAAATTCGCTCTTCTTGTTTTCATCTTTAATACATTGAGCTATCTCTTCATTTCTCATGCAAGGTCTTGCTGCTTCACTTTCATGAGCTGTCTTCGCAAACTTGCTCTGGATGTTCTCCTTGAAAGTTCTTGTCCATGAACATTTCAGATAAAATCTCATCAAAGCTTCCTCCATCATCACTGAGTCAGAGAAACTCACTCTGCTAAAGTTTACAACAGAACTTTTGCTATGTGCACTTGGATGGACGTCATAAGCTTCCAGGGAAGAATTAAAGAGATTAGGTACTCCTTGCTCATGATGCACAATGACACTGGATCCTTTATAACTCCAGGCCACGTGCATCAAAGAATGAGCCAAAAGTCATACAAGTCCCTTCATTCTGATTCCCACATTTTTAGAACAAGTGCAATATAATATAAAGAGTATGTGTTTCAGAGTCTGAATTTGGATCTTAGTCCCATCACTTACTGGCTATGTAATCTTGGAAAAGATCCTAAACTCCTCTGAGCCTGTTTGTTAACCTGTAAAATGGGGATACATAATAGTACCTCTTAGGCTAGCTATGAAAATTAAGGTAACATAGGCAAAATGTTTGGCACAGGTACTAAACAAATGTTAGCTAATATTATTGCTTTTCTTAAAATGAACTTATTCTAATTATTGGCATTTAGCATTATAGTTTAGATGTCCATATTGAACTATCTCTATGTGATTTTTATCCTGTCATAATTGAAGCCACTGTTGATTCCCCCCGCTAAGTTGAGATACTAATTTGAAATTTATGGCCAACATCTAGCCTAAGTGATCATATTCTACTCATGTGAAATTAAGCTCCCCCTTAAAGCTGAAGATTGAATATCTATTTCTCTACATCTATGTAATATAGTCTGTTCAGACTTAAAATTTTGACCAGTGCTGCTAGACACTGTTGAATCGAACAGAGAGGGAAAGGGTTATTATGGCAGGAAGAGAAATGAACATTACTTAATGAACTTGCATTTCAGTTGAGCAGGGTTTTTAATACAAAAGAAAGAGCTTTTTATAAATTCTTTTGCTCAGCAACAATAAAAAGAGGGAAAGAGCACTCAGCTGGGAACAATAGCTACTCAGCTCATAAAAAATCATTAGAAGGAACATTTTCTTTGTCCGCCATGCCCAGCAATTTCACTGGTGGGCAATGATCCAGATCACTTAGGTTCCACCTACAAAAATGAGTCCAGAGAACCTTCTCAACTTTTCCAGCTAATAAATTATGCTAACAAAAATCCTAATCTCTTAGTGTGTGCAATGCCACCATAAATAAAATTCTGACTCATAATTCATGGAATGTTTTTGACAAGTTGATGATACTGATCCAGTCATTAATAGGATTTGCTCTTCAGGTTGCTTTTCCATTAGAAGGGAGGGACTATGCTGACACATTTACTCATTCCCATCAAATCCTCCTAGCAGCCAGGAGCCTGTATCTGGTTGATGACTGTTGGGCAAGGTGCAGGGTGCCAGAGGACAGCATGATTCCACTGTGTGAAATAAGCTGGTGTACTTGGATATTTCACTTTTCACTGCAGTCTCTGTAGCTCATCTTAAGTTGGTGGAGTCAGAGAAACTTCATATTCTTGACATAAAGAGCCTGGCTGATTCATCTTCTCCCACAAATGATATTAAACCGTATTAAGCTAATTGTCAAATGTGTTGAATTACCTTATCAATGAAAAGCTCTTTTCTGTGTTCAAGGTTCCCCATGACAACCAAAAGATTCCTGCACATGAATAAAATGTATTTCTAATGACACTGCTGGATGATCAATCATAAGCATGCCCATTAATGCAACTCCTATATGTCTTGTTAATTAAAACGTATGAGGGAAAGAGTTTTCTGTTTAAGAACTTATTTTTTTTTTGTATTTAGCTTGAACATGAACATTTTAAGAATGAACTTATATCTTTACTGCCTGATATAGTAAGTATTCAATATTTGCTGAATGTCTAAAATATATTTCACAAAAAGTAAAGTGCTTTGAAGACTAAACAATGCATTCCAAGCCCAACATTTTTTCCTTACTAAACTTCTCTCCACTTGTGACTTTACGCTGAAGATTGGCACCATCAACTAAAATCTAAATAGCATTCTATGTTCCCCTTTAATTAACTGTCCATGACTTACACTTTCTCTGCAATCTGAATTGTTTTATTTTTAAAAGGCCTTCCTAGTCCCTCAGATTGCATCTAAGATGTAAGAATACACAGAAACTGCAATATCAACAGAACTGAATTAAGCAGAATATGCCATGACAGCAAATATGCAAGCACAATCTTTACTGAAGACAGGTAACCAAACAAGCTTTTTACAGATAATAAGGAGTTTGGGGGGAGGGGTGTGTAGCTGGTGAAAATTCAGTTTTATAAGTATACTGCCATTGAGAGAATTACTCCTGAGTATCTGCAACTGTACTTATTCACTGCAACAGTAAACAAGACAGATATGATCCCTGTTCTCAGAGAGCTCATAATTCATGATATTACTTTTGCTGGATGCACCAGAAAGAGAGGGATACATTTTAGCTTGGCCTTCAACTATGTAGGTATAGTTGTGGAGATCTGGGGATTAGGATGGCATCCTTAGGTACAAGGATAACAGCAGAAAAATAGTAGTTGTACTTACTATCTGAAACTTTCTGAGCTTATACTCCAAGTAGCTGTAGTTCAATTATATATGCCTGATTTTTTTAAGTAATGCCTTCACAGACTCAAGGGGAAGACAAAATCCCAACCCTGTCCTGTTGCATATTAAAGATGGCCACTGATTCTTTCAGTCCTTTCTATCCTCTCCCTTTGAATCGAGGCAGGCTCTGTAATTCTTAGACCAACTGAATATGGCACAAGTGACGCCCTGACAGTTTCCAGACCTAGGGCAATCTGGCAGCTTCCATTTTTTGTCTCTTGGAACACTCTGTTATAAGACAGCTGCTATGGTGACGATGCTCTAGTAGCCCTGTGGAGAAGCCTGTGTAAATAGGAACCTAAGCAGAGAGAAAAACCGAGGCTCTCAGCCAACAACCAGGCCCAACTTGCTGGCTGGAGAACTGGTGCCTCCAGCCTGTTAATGCTGCAAGGAATGCAGACGAGCTGTCCCCACCATGTTCTACCCAAATTGCAGATTCAAGGGTGAAATAAATGATTACTGGGACATACCTGAAACTTTACCCTGAATCTGAGGTATTTTTAAAGATAAAACTAACTAAATGAGGCAGTGAAGGAAGTAAAAATTATATTTTTTGAGCATTTATGTGACTAAATGCTTTATACGTCCTTATTCTCTACAACAACCGTATTTGATAGGATTATTTTCTCTATTTTATAGATACAGGTTATTGACTAGAAAATTGAGTAACCGCCCAAAGTCACATAACAGGAAGATAGTATTCAAAAGCAGACCTGACTCCAAGGCACCTGCAAAGAAAACGGGAATTAAGGAAATTCTAAGCTAATGCTAGGGTGACTCAAATTCTCATGAATAAAGTATGGATTAGGAAAATATGACATCAATTAAAAGGTGCAACTGAGGGTGCCCCCAATATTCCTTAGCAGAACTTTCCAAATTAGCGGTAACATGTTTTGATGCATAGTATTCAGAAAACAGCAACATTTTCTTAGTATGTAAAACTTTACGATGCCTGCTAAATGCAAGTGCTCCAGAGTAAAGAGGTTACAAAGATGAATGGCAATATTCTTGCTCTGAAGGTTCTTGCATTTTAGTATGAGAAATAAGGTATGTTACACCAAGAGTTGCTTCGCAAGGTACCAAGCTATAGCCCCTATAGGTATGTATCATGTGAAGAATAAAGTACTATGGGGATTTATTTATTCACTCAACAAATATTTATTGGCTGCCAATGTAACAGTAAACAAGACAGATATGATGCTGCTCTCAGAGAGCTGATAATTCATGATATTACTTTTGCTGGATGCACCAGAAAAAGAGGGATACGTTTTAGCTTGGCCTTCAACTATGCCTAGACTTTGGGCAGGTGGGGATCTGGGGATTGGGACGGCATTCTTAGGTACAAGAATTACAGGAGAAAAATGAAAAACACTAAAGTATGAGAAAATTAGTAGGACATGTACGGGGACTTTAAAGCAAGAACCATATTTTATCGACTTTAAGGTTCCATCAATTTAATTCAGGATCATTATTTTATAAACCAAAAGAAAAAATAGTAATTAAAGTTTTACAGAAATGGTTCTCAACTGGGGGTGATTATTGTCCTCTAAAGGGCATTTGGCAATATCTGGAACCATTTTTGTTGTCACAACTGATAAGACTAGTCTTTAGTAGATAACAGGTTAGATTATTGCTAATCATCTAAAACGCACAAGAGACCTCCCACAAAAAAAGAATTATTTGGCCTAACATGTCAATAATGCCAAGGTTGAGAACTCCTAAACTACAGAATGTTGCAAGTTGAAAGATGCATCTAGGATATCTAAAAAGTATTTTAAGATACAGAAAATGCAGTAGTTCAGTTTACCTGAAATGAACCCAAGATTTGTAAAGGAATACTGGGAAATAATGCTGGCACTCTGTATCTGAATCTGTTCTTTCACCTTTGGAATAGTAAAGTGATAATGATCAGGGACTATGTTTTAAGAAATTAATTTAATGCAGTGTAAGTCACAGAGCTGGCCTTTGATGACCATGCTGTCCAAACTTTGCATTCTAGAAACCCTGCACTCTAATCACTCCAATTGATATATCTATTTCTGCTAATTGTCATCTCAAAATAACACTCATCTCAGAAGAAATAACACTGACTCACCTCACCAATCATATGGTATCTCTGATTATTTTTCTTTTTTAAAGCCCAGCTCTATGCCACTTATTTCTCCTCTCATGCAGTGTTTAATATATTATTTTCTTCCTTTGAACTTTTAAAATATATCACCTGTATCTAACAGCATTCACTATGTGTGTGATTTATCCTTCCTCTACATGTTAAGTTCCTTTGGGTCATGATCCATGACTGCTTCATACTTGCAACTCTCAGGGGACCCACGATAGTGCCTTGCACATCAAAGGGGTCAATAACTATTTGTAGACTGAGTAATGAATAAATATACAGTACTGGGAGAATATAATTAAATACAAATTCCTCAGACTTCTCTCAACCTTTCCTCACAGGGCTCATTTTGTAAACGTGAATCATTTTAGAAGCTCTCCAAGTCCTCATGCTTTAGCTATAGGGTCTCAGAGGGAGCGGGGTTCTTAACCCTTACTTTACAAAACACCATTTAATAAATTCCATTACATTTCAGATCATATCTCCAAGGGGTATCAGCCAGTACTTGCTCTCAAGACATTTAAAACATCTTATATAGGCAGAGTCCCAAATTCCCTGAAAAAAAGAGACAATTATAAAAAAAAAGAGACAAATATAAGCAATAAGAAAACTTCTACTCATTGCTCACAAATCCCAATTGCATTCTTGATAATCATACTTTTTGCACACGTGTGTGTATGGGGGGGGGATTTAGAACATAACAAAAATCTTAAAAATGTATGAATGTAACAAAGAAAATAAGAAAAAAAGGTCAGTTATAGAATTTTAAGGAGATCCTTTAAAAGATAATAAAAAGCAAGACTATTAGTATTTTATTGTTATACAGCTTAATGGTGGAAGATAAGATTGTGGTCAATCCATACAGAAAATTAAGAAGACCATGTTTTAGAATATTTTGCAAGGTTTTTTTTTTTTTTTGAAGTCCCCTCTTTTTTTTCCTTCAGCGTAGTCCTTAAGCATCAATCAATGTTTGGCGCCAGATTCTAGCAGGTCTTTTGCTTCATTTATTTTGGCTGCTACGTAAGGAGATCCACCTGAGACAACAAAGAAAAATGAATTAAAATATACTTAATCATTGATACTAAAAACACTCTTCTCTGATATTGTCTCACACATTAATCCTGACAAATTATTTTATAAGCTAACTAGAAATCAAAACAGTATAAATTAAACTTGATTAGTGAAGTCCTACAACTATCCAACAATTAAAAAAAAACCTCTGAGAAAAATGATGAAAGAAAGTTATGATCAGGAATAACTTGAAAAATACTCAAATACTTCATGGGTCAGACATTCACCTTTCCAGTATTTGACCAGAGAATTTTCTAAAATTAAGTGGATGGTTAGGTAAATAAAATAACAGTCTTTTCCATGACTGTTTTCTTTTTTTTTTTTTTTTTAAAGACACATTCATCTGTGAAAAGGGGTATCTTTTTGAAGAACATAAATCAATCCAAGGGGTCTTTTTAAAGTATTAATCAAGTCTTATGATGTCCCAAAAATAAAATGCATGTTTAAAAAGGCAACTATGTACTACCCAGTGCTAAAAACCTACTTACTTAATAGAGATAAATGATCTAATATTAATAAATGAGAGATAAAAATAAGGTCAAAAGAAATTTTTGTTCTCTGAAATGATTCTATTAGAATATTGACAGAGTGTAGTTTTGGATTTACAGTGCCCCAAAATAAAACTGAATCAGTTCCTTTTTAGAGTTCTTTGCAATGAATTCTTTCTAATGTAAACAGCAAGAGGAAAACTGAGGTGAATTTCAAATGCAGAATCATTGTAAATCACAAACAGAACCTATTTGACATACAAAAATACTAGCCCCAAACTGTCACATGAAAGCTAAACATCATGCGCCTTCTAACTTCTAGTCCTGAATACTGTCATTGTTTAACGCTCAGACTAACAATTGTATTACAGCTCACCAGTCTCTTTGTGTTTTTTATTTTGTATTCTCCCCTTGAGTGCAAACCATCTATACCTGCTGAAAACATCGTAAGGTCTTAGTAGCTTACAACAAACCAAAAAGCATTTAGCTAATATTGGTGTAAATTGTCCTGACTTTTTTCTGGCCTTTTATTGATATCATACCACCCAACTTATGAACGGAAAAGAAAGCAAAGAAAATACATCAACAACCATGGCATTGTGGTAGAAAGGGTAATGCTGGAGAAAGCTATATTTAGCTCTTTGCCCTTGAGGATACCACTGACATTTTCGTATCAAGATCTGAATGGCTATAAACACTTATGGAATATATCACAGTATGTCCTTGAATGTGCTATAAGAGTTACAAAGAAAGCTGATAAAAGTTTAAAGCACTTGGTTATGAAATCTGTTGATTTCATGATTATCTTTGCAGACGATCTAGCAATCAGGAATTAGGTAACGTCAATGTGGTAAGCTGTTTAAATTCTTAGAGTTATCAGGGTGATGTCCTCAATGTCTTGAATATCCTCAGCAAATATTAAAATATTAATTAAACTTAAACATAACATTTGATTGATATGCATTCTGGATATTTCAATCATAGGCTGTAATATGCTCACTCAGCAGTTTGAAAAAAATCAAAGGCATAGATGATAGAAAGTCTTATACATTTTGGACTGGTTCTTGTGACCCTCATTCTACCTCTAAATAGTTGGAGAAGTTCCTCAGTCCAAAACTACAATTCCTATAGTCTCTTCAAGCAGTGTTTGATTCACATCAGGTTCAATTAATTACAGCCATTCTTGTGAGACTTGGAAGGTTGAAATGCGGGAAAGTCTTTCTTGCTGAACCTCTTTATCATTATTACTGCTAGTAAGCAAGAGTGCGGTTATAGTGGTGGCAGCAACTGTGCTTCTCCCACAGTTCTAGTGGCAGCCTGTGAGGCAGCAGCTTCCCTGACACAGTAGCTATGTAATTGTTTAGGAACGATTCTTTTTTTTTTTTTTTGAGACGGAGTCTCGCTGTGTCGCCCAGGGTGGAGTGCAGTAGCCGGATCTCAGCTTACTGCAAGCTCCGCCTCCCGGGTTTTTACGCCATTCTCCTGCCTCAGCCTCCCGAGTAGCCGGGACTATACAGGCACCCACCACCTCGCCCGGCTAGTTTTTTGTATTTTTTAGTAGAGACGGGGTTTCACCGTGTTAGCCAGGATGGTCTCGAACTCCTGACCTCGTGATCCGCCCGTCTCGGCCTCCCAAAGTGCTGGGATTACAGGCTTGAGCCACCGCGCCCGGCCAGGAATGATTCTTGTAGGTCAAGTGTAGAACTTGCTCCTTCAGATCTTCGAACAACGTGTAACCTGTGCTAAATGTTCTCCTGGTTAAAATACCTAGTTGCTGGCAGTGAATCCTGACTGATAACACAGGATAGGATGCATACCCTAACTTTAACGAAAACAAAATACTCTCGGCTGTGCACAGTGGCTCACGCCTGTCATTGCAGTACTTTGGGAGGCTGAAGTGAGAGGACTGCTTGAGCCCAGGAGTCTGAGACCAGCCTGGGCAACATAATAAGATTCTGTCTCTACAAAAAATTAAAAAATTAGTTGGGTGTCGTGGTGCACACCTGTAGCCTGAGGCTGCAGTGAGCCTTGATCGCACCACTGCACTCCAGCCTGGGCGACAGAGTGAGGCCCTATCTCCAAAAAAGAAAAGAAAAAGAATAAAGAAAATAACACTCTTCAACCCCTCTCGGTTTTCTGGGGGAATTCGGTGAGTTCCATTTAATGAGAACACTCACCTTCACCCTTGGTATTTCTGTACCTTTGTTCTTCTACCACTAAATATTGCCAGAGGCCTTCTGCTTCTGGCTACTGTGAACCATCATGTTTAAGACCAACTCTGCCACTGACACCCAACTAGAAGAGCTAAATAAAATATAAACACATCAGTATAAAAGCACTGGAGGCCTACCAAGTCAGTCAGGTCTTGAGGGACCTGGAGATAAGGGAAATGTACTATGATGAGTCCAACATTCTGCACTGCTTTTTTCCTTCAAAGAAGCCAGACACATAAGAGTATATAATACTATTCCATATATATGAAACATGTCTAAGGCCGAGCACAGTGGCTCAGACCTGTAATCCCGGCACTTTGGGAGGCTGAGGCGGGCGGATCATGAGGTCAGGAGATTGAGAGCATCCTGGCTAACACATCTCTACTAAGAATACAAAAATATAAAAAATTTTAGGGAAACCCCGTCTCTACTAAAAATAAAAAAAATTAGCCGGGTGTGGTGGCGGGCACCTGTAGTCCCAGCTGCTCAGGAGGCTGAGGCAGGAGAATGGCGTGAACCCGGGAGGCAGAGGTTGATGTTGCAGTGAGCCGAGATCGTGCCACTGCACTCCAGCCTTGGCGACAGCTAGACTCTGTCTCAAACAATAAAAATAAAAATAAATAAAATAAAAGATATGTCTAATCTATAGTCTATGGCAGAAAGAAGAATGGTGACTGCCCAGGCTGTGGACTGCCCAGGCTGTGGGGAGGGACTGGCAATGGGAAGGGGCAAAAAGGAACCTTTGGAGCTTATGGAGATGGTATATGTCTTGACTGTTAGTGGTTACATGCACATAAATATTTGCCAGAACTCATCAAATTATGCATTTAAATGGGTGCATTTTATTCTATATAAATTATATCTCAATAAAGTTGATTAATAAAAATCCAGCAGACTATATATTAAGAGACTATACTTTTAAGAAATAGAAAAACATATACACTATCAAAAATAAAGCTGACATTGTTATACTAATTATAAGATAAAGTACATTTTAAGGTAAAATGCAAAACTAAAACGGGCAATTTCACAGTGTTACAAGGGTCAGTCTACTGGTAAGAGAAGGCAATTGTAAATTTGAATATACCTAATAAGATAGCCCTCAAAATACACAAAGAAAAAAAGGAGAAAACCAAAAGGAAAAACACACAAATCCACAATCTTAGTGAGTGTCCCTCTTCTCAATAATGCATAAAACAAGTAGACAAAATGAAAGAGTAAGAACACTGAAGTTATATAACATCAACAAACTTGATTTAACTGACACACATAAAACATTCCGCCCTACAAGTGTAGAATGTATCTTCTTTTAAACTGCACATGGAACATTTACTGTAACTGACTATGTGCTAGGGTATAAAGTAAGTATCAACAAACTTCAAAGATTAAAATAACAATAAATGGTGCTATGTAAAGGATCTTCCATGGATGAATGTTGATTTACAACTGCTATTAGACCATAGGTTTGGAAATTGAGATTAAGTGTTCAGAAAATATAGCCGTTTGAAATAACAGTGTACCCCTGTAAAACCTGGATCTTATATACATACTTTTTTCCTCAATTTTCTCATTTCATTTTCATTGTATTTTACAAAAGCTTTCAGTCCACCAGTGATTGAGAGATAAAAAAAAAAAAGTCCTCCAACAGAGTTTGAGAAACACTGAAACAGAGTCTGTTAACTGACCATAGGAGAACTAAACTAGAAATCAATAACAAACACATCTAGAAGATCCCAACGTTTGAATATTAATCAATACACTCCTAAATAACTCACGCATCAAGGAAGGTAGCACAATAGAAATTAGCATTTGAGAGAGAATCAACACAGTGAAAGATTAGTTCTCTAAAAAAGTAATCAACTTCATGTCAGAGCATGTAAAAATGTAAAAGATAAATTCCAAGAAAAAGAAAACCTTTCAAAACTAATATAAGAAGAAATGGAAAAATCAAAAGAATATTTAAGAAGCTAAACATGTAATTAAAAATCTTCCCAAAAAATAATAATCCTGGCCATGATTTTGTTGAATTTTTCCGAAAAATAGAAGAGAAAGAAAACACTTTCAACTCTTTTTATGAGGTTAGCATATCTTTGATAACAAACCCTAATGAAAATGTCACAGGGAAACCACAGATCCCTCTCTCTCATGAGCACAGGTGCAAAACAAACAAAATATTCACTTATCAAATCAGACTAGATATGATGGCCAAGTTAGGTTTATATCAGGAATGCAAGACTGGCTTACATATCCAAAAATTAATTG